GGCTGGAAAGGAAGAGGCAGTTGTAGCTATCAGTATATAACATGTCTTTTCCAACTCCTTCAACACACCTTGATCTACGAATTCACGCCTGAGCTGTAGAAGCAGGTTCCATCCTGCGTATCTGTGTGCCTTGTCGAAAACAAGCGATTCCCTGGTCGCAAATGTTTTTAAGGGAGTGTTTATACAACACGACGCAGATACTATTCTACTAAATACACAACCTTCGTCCAGCTACATAAACAACAGCAAACTACTGTCTGCGACATCCGAATCCCAAATTCCAACAACGCCAACATTTGATAATTGATCTGCTAGTGTTTTTAAATGCTGGCAGTAGGAAGAGGCATCTGGAAATTGCTCCATACGAACCGCAGAAAACTCTTGTTCCAGGTAGAGTGCACTTGAATTTTTATTGTCTGAAAAAATGTCCTCTAGCCTGTTCCATGCGTGTTCAGCGGTAGAATTTCGTTCAATAATGGTATGCAGAAGATCTTCAGAGATTGTGTCGTAAATCCATTGTAAAACAATGGCGTCAACTCTTGACCAGAGTTCGAGATCCGTGTCTATAAGAGATGGGGAGGAATCTAATTTTGTTGGCTCCTTTGATGGAGGAATGATGTGGTCTAGAACTTTATAGGCTTTGGCATGTATTTTGAATAGTTCTGACCAGGTAATTGGCCCTTTTCAATATCAAGTGTGACCTTGATGAAGGTATTGATATTAGAAACGGTGAGGGTCGGATGAAGTAAAAGAGAGGAGGAAGGAGTAGGTTGAGATTGAGAGGAAGAAGAGGATTTTTGGCCAATTGTATTGTCTGCCATTGATATGGCTGCCCAGGGAGGAAGAAAAGAACGAATAAAGTTTAAATGAATAAAAACCTGAGTTGCTCTAATACCATGTAAGAAATATTATTTTCCCTCAGTTTATTGATTTGCCTTGAGGCTCATATATACAATTATGGGCAACGATCATATTCCTAAATAAGGTACAGAATAATACAATTAATCTAAAATATTCTAAGAATAATAATATTTACATTATCTAATTTCCATAATCTAATAGTAATCACTAAATCAATCGAAGCTTTTGCCATAAAAGAAATCTTTCTACTACGAGATCATTCTTCAACCTCAAATATGCGGCAAATTATATCGTGCTTGTGCGCCCTGACCCAAAATGACGTCGTTTTGTATCTTTTAATTTCGTCTTTCGTTTCTGTTGTAAAAATTCTCAGTTTTTTATGTACAAAATTGTATAGTAGAATACCCATAACTCCTAATATAATACACATAATCTAACATAATACATAATACATAATACACATAAACTCTTAACATAATACACATAAACACAAGTGTTAAAACAAAAACATGTAACGAGATTTGACGGATGGAACGGTATCCGTCACGTCAACTCCCTACCAACTTATAAAAACGTACTTATAAAAACGTCGTCGTTTTGGGTCAAGGCGCACTAACAACTGCAAATATGCATAGCAGCACCACAGCTTAGTAATCACCTTTTTCTTTCTTTTTTTTTTTTTTTTTTTTTTTGAAATTATAAGTATTACATTACTCTTAAAAGTTAATTCCACCATAGGTCCCTTATCTTTGGTGTCAATTTTAAATTTAGTCACAAAATATCATTTTTGTCATTTAACATCCCAGACTATTATTTTTTGGACACTTTTAGTCATTTTCATGATTTTTCTATTTTTAATAAGGACATTTTTGTCTCTTTATATTTTTCTTTTGTTATTTTTCCGATTTCAACCAGTTTAATTGGTTTAAGACTTTACTAAGAATCGGTTGAAAAATATGATTACTAAAAATCATAGGTTTCCTAAAGTTCTAAATCGATTAAATCGGTTGAAAACAGAAAAATAACAAAAGAAAAATATGAAAAGATAAAAACGTCCTTACTAAAGACAACGGGCCTCTAGTAAAATTAACTCTTACTCTTAAAATTATACATATTTTAGAAATTTGAAATAATGTTTAATGTTTAACACGCTCAAAAACTCAACAAACAAAAATGTTTTCTTACTTTGATGGGAAAATAGTACTTTTGTCCCCTGAATTGTTTTACTTTTAGAAATTTGGTTCCTGACAATTGATTTAAACAAATTTAATCCTTCAATTATTCATTTTGTGTCACATTTAGTCCCTAAAGTTATATAATTATAAATTATATTAATAAACAACGAAACTTGAATTGAGAAGATGAATATCTACAGGTTGTGTCGCAGAACTCCTTTCTATATAGAAAGCGGCTTAGAGATGCAGAAGCTAATTTGCATGTATGCAACGCATCTAATCTCTTCCCATGAATTGAATAGATACACCACAGCAAGAAAATTTATTTGACAGTTCATGGGTTTTCAAATGAGAAAGAAACTATAGTGATGCTGTTTGAATTCATAAAAAACATCCTGGGTAGCAGTAGCTATAGAGAATTAAGCTTCTAAATTGACAAATACAACCTCATAAAAATGATTTATTAATAGACTTTGTAATTATATAATTTTAGGGACTAAATATGACCTACTTTGGACAATTGAAGGATTAAATTTATTCAAATCAATTGATAGGGATCAAATTTACATGCAAAAGTAAAACAATTCAGAGGCTAAAAGTATTGTTTTCCCTACTTTGGTTTACAAGAAAGCTCATAATCTCTAATTGAAAGTGCGTTATGAGTGAAACTTACCTTGTAACTCTAGCAGGTAAAAAAATGACAAGGAGGTCGATAAACCTAATTGATGGGAAAATACCGCACACTATAGTACCCTGCCCATGAATGAGTGAGAAGGACTGCCATCGTTTAGGTTGGATTCGGACCTCCCGACCTGTGTTTTGTTATGCCGATCTAACCCCCTTTAGTTATGATATCTACCATTAATATACACCACCCCGTCAAAAATCTTCGGACACATGACAACATCGACCAACTCTAGGAATCTTTTTACACTTATCACTACCGACTTGACTGATCAACTCCATAAACCCACATGTTGGACATGCCGAAGAAGTGGCATGTTGCTACTTCTCAAGTAGTTTAGGGAAAATAGATAATTTTGGAGACTTGTATGAGTATGGAACACTTTTCCCGACCTCAACACTTAGTCAATAAAAATATGATAATTTTTATGAGAAGTCAAACTTGAAACCTTATAATTATTAAGTAATTGTTTAACTAACTTGGTTGAAGTTGCCCAACTAAATACATGGCAACATACATAAACCCAAAATCATTTTATCTATCTGTAGTAACAACTAACAATCTATTAAATATTTAAATATGCTCCTATTGCAAGGATATAATTACCAAAATCTTATATGGAGATTAATTCTTTCAACTTTTTAATTATTATTTATAAATCATAACATATTAACAATAATTAAGAGATTTACATTTTTCATAGCTTGTACAAGGTTAGTTTAATTGTAATTTAAAAAGAAAAATGTTTCATTTTGCCCCCTCAATTATTCTGAATTATAAATATAATCATTATCTTTCAATTATTATAAATTTAGTCTTTCAATTGTTGACATAGTTGCAAATTTAGTCTATATCTTTCAATTATTGTGAATTTATATATATAGCAATTGAAAAATAAATACATTTGTAACTTAAGAATAATTGATGGACTAAAAGTGTAACTTTTCATTAAAAGTTTTATTAAAAAGTTTTAACTTAAAAGAGGCATGATTGGAAGTTCGATTAAATTAGTATCATAGATGTGAATATCAATAAAGTATGTAAAAAAAAAAAATACAACTATTGAATATGTTTATTATATTTATTTATACCAAGTAAAAAAATCTAAATGATTTCTATATTAATATGTAAAATTTAACAAGGAGCTAATAGAGCCAGTAAAACATATACTTTAGGGCCATCTAGACTAGTGTGACACTTGATTGGGAACGCTTATACCTTATTATCATTTTTGTTTAGCTTTCGATACTTTGGTAATGACAAAAGTTATTACTCTCTTCTTCCTCTACTTTTGAACATTAGTTATAGTTGTTGTTATTATTATTATTAAATGTCATAAAGGTATTAATATTCTTCTCAATGTTGAATCCCCAACCCCCAGGGCCCCCTATCCCCACGCCCGACAGAGCATTTGGCTGAACACAGAGATTAGACCTTTGCTTACTGCGCATCCCACATAACTCTGGCTGAACACCTTGTCATTCTTCTCAATCTACACCCCTATGACCAACTGAGCTGTCCATTCGGGTATTAATATAAAATGATGATTAGATTGCATAGAAATAACCTTCAACTAAACATCTTACTATTACATACTTTCAATATTAAAAAAATACAGTTTGACCCGCTTTGGTCAACCGTATCAATGACCCCCGGCCCTTTTTGACGCCAAGGGCGGAGGGACCCTAAACAATATTATTTCTGAATGCAAACAGTGGATAAGAAAAGACCGGAATGTCAAATGTTATCACATTTTGTGAGAACATAACCAAATTGCGGATTGGCTCGCTAGGAACCATGGCTTTGAACTCGACTTGTCTTTATTTGATTTTTGCCTGATACCAAGCTTGTAGGTTGCGTTCTTAATGATTGTATAGGGGTCCCTTATGTCTGCGGCGACTAGTTTGATTTTGTTCCTCGGTGTTCCACCCTTCCTTTTGTTAAAAAAAAAAAAATACACTTCGAACAGTTTTCTTAAAATCTTACATTTTCTAAATGGCAAAAACTTCTGTGAGACGGCTCGGATCAAGTCAAGATGACAATGTAATACTTATACGCACAAATGTCATACTTATATGCTCAAATGTAATACTTATTAGGATTAAAATATTTTTGTTACTTATAAGGGTAAATGTAATACTTTTACATTTCGATTTAAAAGTATTACATTTTTTCTCAAAAGTGTTATATTTTCCTTTATAAGGGGCACTTGCCAACATTACTTATTATGAAAAATGTAATAATTTTGATGGAAAATATAATACTTTTACATCAAAATGCAAAAGTATTACATTTTTCCTTATAAGTAAAAAAAAAATTATTCGTGATTAGCATTACATTTCAGCATAAAAGTATGACATTTACATGTTGATTCGATCCAACCCGACCCGTCTTACGAATAAGGTTCCATGAGACGGTCTCATACAAGTGTGATCCTTTCTAAATTAATATGACATTAATGTGAATTTTTTTTTTCTTTTGGCTTTGGAGGCTAAATCGAAGAAATAGAAAGTACAGGGGGCCACTTAATTCTAAAAAAATTGCTAGAAAGGGCCGGACCGGACACGGCATTTCCTTTTTCATCCCTAACGTGCAACGGCTCACCGGCCCATACTTCCCGTTCCGTCTTCTTCTACTTTACACTTCCCAGAAAAAAGAAATTAAAAAAAAAAAAATAATTAAAAAAAAATTCAGCAAAAAGAATATGAAAAAAATCGTAATCGGCGATTACACCAACGTAAACGCAACCTAAAATAGCTCCAAACCTAAAACCGTCAGCCGTCCCACGCACTCCAACGTGAGCGTTACGTCCACGCGCCCCAGCAACCTCTCCGATTAATCTCCCCAAACGACAATGTCGTCATCACCGTACCGCTTTGCCTCCTAAACATGCGGCTCACGCGCTTCATCGCCAACCGGCGATACCTTCTATCATCTCATACCCGATGCCTTTTCTATTCTTCCTCGCCGTCTTTTACCTCTTTCTCTTCTCTCTTCGCCATTCGATTTCGATCTGATTTTGAGTTTTCCGGCTCCGATCCATGGGAGAGATGATGGATTCGTTTGCTCCCCAATCGGCGGCGGCTCCGGCGTCGCGGCCGTTGCCGTTCCGGGAGGATTGCTGGAGCGAGGAGGCGACGTCGACGCTGGTGGACGCGTGGGGGCGGCGGTATCTGGAGCTGAACCGGGGGAATCTCCGGCACAAGGATTGGCAGGAGGTGGCCGACGCCGTGAATTCGCTGCACGGCCACACGAAGAAGGGCCACCGGACGGATGTGCAGTGTAAGAATCGGATCGATACTCTGAAGAAGAAGTACAAGACGGAGAAAGCGAAGATCGCGGAGTCTAACGGAGCCCTAGCGTCGACGTGGCCGTTCTTCTCCCGCCTCGACGCGTTGATCGGAAACTCCGGCAAAAATCAGTTCCCTAAAGCTTCCCCGGCGGCGGTGAGTCCTTCCCCTTCCCCTTCACCGCTCCCGTCGTATTCGCCTCTCTCGTTGCCGTCTCCGCCGATGGGAGTCCCTCTGCCCTTCCGGCGGCCGCCGCCGGTCGCGCAGCAGGTGATTCTTCCTCAAAAGCGCCCGCCTCCGGCCATGGACGACTCTTATTTCAAGAAGAATTACTCCGCCGTGGCTGCCGCAGCGGCCGCTACTGACGACGACGAGGCCGACGAAGACGAGGAAGAGGAGGGCCGGGGGGATTCCGAGGAGGAGATGGAAACGAGTGATGAGATTACTGAGGAAGAAGGAATCAGGAGGCTCGCCAAGGCGATCAAGCGGTTCGGAGAGATTTACGAGCGAGTTGAAGGGATGAAACAGAGACAAATGATTGAGTTGGAGAAGCAAAGGATGCAGTTCGCTAAGGATTTGGAGGTTCAGAGGATGCAATTATATATGGATACTCAGGTCCAGCTCGAGAAGATTAAGCAATCCAAGCGTTCTGGATCAGATGGTATAAATTCTTTAACTCCTCAACTTTTCTTTTCTTCAATCTATCAATTCATTCTTTAGTAAAGTTCTCAACTTTTTCCTTTTTTTATTCCGTGTTCTAATCATATCCCATTAATGTGTTCTCTAGCTGATTTAGCTTTGTTAATTCTGTATATTCAAGTTTGCAGAGTTCTAAGTCAAGTATTATAAAATCCCGATTTCTTAATGTGTTCAACTGATGTGTTTGGTTGTGATTACTTCTCATTTGATATGATGAAAGTTTGCACTTATTCTTGGTGCATATTGTATTATATCTATCTTTACTTAGTGAAGATTTCGGGTCTCCCATTCATTAAGTAGATTGTACGATAGTTGAAGAGTTTGTAGGTTACGATTGATTAAGTGATCTGCTTGAATCTCAGCATTGTTTATCTTTACAACTCTCTTTGACTTCGTGAACCGAGCATTCTTGAACATTTCCTCGGTGATATGCATGCTAATGTATTACTCCATATTTATCTTGAACTTGAGTAGGACATGGTGACCGATAAAATATGTTGGCCGAAGTCATTTTCTACACTTGCAAGGGGAATAGGCCATTCCCGGGAACAATGTTCCTGGGAATACAAGTGGTTACCAAACAGAGGAATATGCCTATTACTGGGAATGCTATGTCATTCCAGGCCTATTCCGTGAACCAAACAGCCCATTAGTGTGCTGGCTGTTGGGACGGAGGATTAGTCTTCTGGCTATCGGCTGGAGGGATAGTTTTGGGCAACCAAAAAAATTAAAAAATTACGATATTTCATTGAGTTTGCTTGCTTGTTGCCTTGTAGAAATGCGGGTACTTGAGTTTTCCAGGGTTTAAGCTCTAAACTTATGCCTTCTTGTTATAGTCCTGAGATTAGAGGTTTGTTCAAATGCTCTGCTGCATTTACACATTTAAATCGAGTCCAGCTGAGTACTAACCGCCACTTAGAGGTTGAGAGAGTCCTCATCAAGCATTATATATAAACAGCATTGCGATGATCTTCTATCCTAGTTGTAATTATATCGGGATAATGCTTGTTGAGTGATATGTTAATTTGGATAGTTTCATTAATCTGCAGTTGCAGGATTCATGTGGTTTAATGGTGTTTTTATGTTTGGTTTTTTTTTTGATGCAGATATGTATAGCTAGCCTGCTGGGGAGACACTTGGAGCAGAAATAGGGCATAGTTTCATTGTAGTTCTTGAAGTATCAGTGCTGTCATTTTTTCCCCCTTGTATGTAGGCTATTTTTATTTTTATTTTTTGTATTATTAAATTTACTTATTCATGTGTCCTTGTCAGCAAAAATGTTGCCATTTTAAATTATTGCTACATGTCTTTTTGGTACATATAAGGGGAATGAAGATGGATCATTGGACTCTTTTCACCATGATCTTACTTTGTTTTTATTTATTATCAACTTTCTATTTGTCACAATATGATGTTTTTTTTTAAAACAATATTAAGTGGCTAGATTTTGTTTCATTATTTATTGATGAAAAGGGTAGACAAACCCCTACCTATCTTCTAACAATGAGAGTATAACTACTGAGCAAAGCTCAAGCTTTGACTAAAAATGAAAGAATAAAAATAAAAAATTGCGGCTTTGAGTCAAGTGTTGTAAAAATTGGTTTAGGCGGATGAGATTTCTTTGGTAGGTGGGTATTATGCGACCAATAGACTAGGTGGCCAAATTATACTTTTATTTTAAACAGTTTGTTTTGCTCAAAACGACACAGTTTTGAGCAAAACAAACCATTTAAAAAAATCATAAATCTGGAATCATTAACAAGTGGGAAAGGAAAGTCAGTCACTTAACCCAAATTCGCACAATCGAACCTCAATCCCTCAGCCCATAGTTCTCATAGCACCGGAGCCAACCATTTGATCACTAGATTTGCCAGTAGGCAGTAGCAAAAGCGCAAAGAAGCTTCAAAGTTCAAGCTTTGATTGGAGCTTCTGCGGAGGAACAAATTCGCTTGTAGACAGGACCCAGATAGAGAGACCCTCAATAGACATAATTTTTTTTCTCAGGTAACTAAGAGAGATGAGAGAGAGAAAAAGAAAAGAAACAAAAAACAATTCTGACAATAAATTTAAAAAGAAAAAAAATAAGAAAAAAAGATACTTTTACGCGCCCAGCTGGTGTGTGCAATACACATGTCATGTTGGGCGCGAAAGTGCATGAAATGTGCATCTTGCACTTCATTTACTTATTGATTGGGACCCATAAAATATTTTGAATTGTAAGACAAAAAACTCCATAAAACCCCACCATCATCGGTGCAAAAACCTATCTTAATTTTATTTCCACAATACTATGAGTGATTAATGCTTTAAGCTTTTAATGCCTTTAAATAATTAAAACCATTAATTAATATTATATATGTTGCAAATGTTGGCCGTCTATCCCCAAGTGACAATTTCAACTATACCCGAGTGTCTATTTTTATTTATTTTTTAATAATTTCCTAGGAGCTGCTAGGCGCTTTGGATGTCAGATGAGCGCTTAGAGTATCCTCAATAGTGGAATTTTTTGTTGTGATTTTTGAATAGTTTTTGTAAGTGTAATTAGGAAAGAGAGATGTGATGGAAGAGAAAAAAAAGAAAGAAAGAAAGGGAAAAAAAAACAACAATAAAAGCTATTTTTTTTTTAAATCATAGTGAACCCCACATTTCTACAACACATAAAAGAGAGATTGAGAGAGGCTGTCAAAGTGGACCTTACATTTATACAAAAACCTCATATTTGTAGGAGGCATTTTATATTCTCTCTCTTCATCTTTCTCTTCCATGTTGGCAAAAAGTTTCTCAAAAACCTTGAGAAACCTTCTAAGATCATCCATAATAGTGGGGTTTTTTTTTGTGGGTTTTTGAGGAGTTTTTGTAAGTGTGATTAGGAAAAAAAAAATGGGATGAAAGAAAAAAAAACAATGCTGAAATTTTTTTAAAAAAATCTGCTTAGATGGATAAATGCGGAGCTGGGCGCAACTTTGATCTTCACCCGGCATTCAATGCTCAATAAATTAAAATGTTGAGACCCACTAACCTACAAAAATCTAATACCTTGTAGGAGGTATTTTTTTTCCTCTCTCTCTCCACATTCTCACTCCTCCACATCACATTTCATTTTTTAAAAAACGTGTAAAAACTTTACAAAATCTACAGATGTAGATGCTCTAAGAGCATCCACACTAAGGGGAGAATGTGGAGATAATGTCAGATGCTTTCTTTTGAATGGGGTGAATAACTAGTGTGGAGAAGAAAGAATAGTGGAGAGAATGGGCCTGCAAATATGGGGAGCATAGAAACAAAAGAAAAAAGTGAGATCGCATGCTGTGCGCGTTTGGCGCACAGCATGCCCACAGCCGGGCGCGTGCAGTCGCCCGGCTGCGCGTCAGGCGAGCCGAGACATACTTTTCTTTTTATTTTTTTTTTATTTTTATTTTTTGGTTTTGGTTTTTTTATTTTTTATTTTTCCTCTCCTTTCCACATTCTCTTTCCTAATCACTCTTACATTCTCCCCCAATTCTCCCCAACCATTCTGGATGCTATAATGGAGATGGCCTTAGGGCCTTCTACATCCTTGCTTTGAGTAAATAACTAATTATGAATGAGTATTTGATTTGACATGTGTGGTATGCATTTTTACCCATTACCAAGAAGGTTAGATGGCTTTATATGCTATGGCCTTGCTTTACCACTTACACCTACTTTGAACTTTCAGGCAAACTTGTATCCTTATCGAGTTTGAAAACTTTTAGTAATTTGGCAACTCTAACCGCGTTTGATGTGCACAAAGCATACCTTTATTGTTAATTTAGAGAGTAGTACGTACAATGATTATGATTTTTATATGCCAACTACCACAGGTAGGTAAAGTGGCTGAGCGAATTGGTTGGTTTTAACTCCATTATTACATGTAACTAATTAAGCTGAATCAATCTTTCTGAATGCAATAATGTTGTATCAATATCCAGACTAGTTTTTTAAGGCAAATTTGTCCGTGGACCATGCATCTAAACATATTCACAGAGAATATATTTTATGTACACAAATAATGAATCTTATGCTATAAATAATGAATAATGATTTACTGAATATTAGATTTTTTCTTATCCCGAAATGTTCAATCCTCAACTTCAAGGCCCCCAACACTCCGGCCCGAGAGATCATTTGGGAGGATGTAAATCACAGTGATTCAATGACTCAGCAGACAGGGCCAAATATTGGTGCGCATAAGGGATACGCTCATTTTGTGCATAATCCCCACACTTTCGCCGCAGAGGTTCGTGAAATATTAAATTTCTAAGTAAATGGGATAGGGTGTGTTGAATAAGTTTATACTAGCTATGTTCTACAAATAATGAACTCCATGTTGAATATACATGCCTAAATAATCAACATTAAATCAATTTGTACATACTCAAATAATGAACCTTATACATATAAATAATGAACCCTCAAGTTGTATGTATTCATACATTTTTACACATTCAAATAATGAACATTACATATAAAAATAATATATTTTATGCATAAAAATAATGTACCATATGCATAAAAAATATTGTACCTTATACATAAAAATAGGGGAAAATTGCACTTTTCGTCCTTAAGTTATAAGATAATTGTATAATTTGTCCCTAAGTGTTGGTCATGTTCACTTTTCGTCCATAAGTTATCATATTCGCGTTGCACTTTTTCGTCCCTGAGTTATAAGGTAATTGTAGGATTCGTCCTAAGTGTTGGTCATACTCACTTTTCGTCCCTAAGTTATCATTGACGTTGCACTTTTTGTCCCCTTAATAATAAAGCATTCACTACTACATAACATAGCTACTACGGCGGTTTTTTTTTTTTTTTTTTTTTTTTTTTTTTACACACACATGGCGGTTTTTGAAATGTCGCGCATGTAAGTGACTGTCGTTGTAAATATACACTTTCTACGATGGTTTTGGAAACCGACGTGTATGTCAACTATATACGGCGGTTATTTAAAAGACCGTCGTCTATTAAGTGACGTAGTATAACATAATATATTAGACGACGATTATTTAAAAAATCGATGTCTATTAAGTGACGTAGTATAACAAAATATATTAGACGGTGATTATTTAAAAATCACAGTGTATTAAGTGACGTAGTATACCATTTATGTAGTTGTGATTAGGGATGAAATTTGCAATTTTAGTATAATTCAGGGACGAAAAGTGCAACGCCAATGATAACTTAGGGAGGAAAAGTGTACATGACCAACACTCAGGGACGAATTCTACAATTACCCTATAACTCAGGGACGAAAAGTGTAACACCAATGATAACTTAGGGACGAAAAGTGAGCATGACCAACACTAAGGGACGAATTCTATAATTACCCAACTTAGGGACGAAAAGTGCAAAATTCCTTAAAAATAATGTATCATATGCATGATTCAAGCCACTTAATATGCATTGGTTTTTCAATCGTTATATCGTGCACCAGGGCGCACAATGCACTGTGCGTCCCGCCCTGCCCAAAATGACGTCGTTTTGTTAAATTGTGTGGGGAGTTGACGCAATGGAGTTTATGTGTATTCCGTTATACAATTATGTACATTCGAAACAAGAAATTTTTTTTTAAGAGTTAAGAGTTTATGTGTATTATGTTAAGAGTTTATCTGTATTATGTATTATGTTAGATTATGTGTATTATCATTTCAAAAAAGATTATGTGTATTATGTTATATAATTATGTACATTCTATTATACAAATATGTACATTCTATTATACAATTATGTATATTCGAAGCATGAGATTTTTTTTAAGAAGTTAACAGCAGATATGGGAATCCAAATTTCCAAAAAAAAAAAAAAAAAAAAGTACAAAAGAACGTTGTTTGGGTCAGGGCACACAATACATTGTGCGCCTTGGTGCATGATATAATTTGCCTTGGTTTTTTAATGAACCATGTTGATTGGGCTTCTTGGATAGGGATTGTTGATTTCGTGCATCCTAGGATCCAATCGTTATGCCATGGAACCGTGTTCACCATTCATGGTGAACACGGTTCCAACGGTGTTAGTACACCGTTATCTTCTTCTTCTTTTTTTTTTTTTTTTTTTTTTTTTAAAAAAAAAAATTAATTGCGTGACTTTTCTTCTTCATTTTCACATTTCGCGGTTTCACTTTAATTTGAGGTGAGCAATGATTTCGGACATTCATAAATTATGAATTCATGCCTGCACATTCACTTTGGAACCATGCCTACACATTCCTGTCTGAAATCACGGACATTCATAAATTATGAATCCATGCCTGCACATTCACTTTGGAACCATGCCTACACATTCACTTTGGAACCATGAGATTATGAATTTTCTGTTATAAGATTATGAATTTTCTGTTATGAGATTATGAATTTTCTGTTATG